TCTAAGGAATGCTGCTCAAACATTCCAAAGATTCATAGACGACGTTTTTCGAGGTCTCAACTTCGTACACGCGTATGTTGATGACTGTCTAATCGCAAGTCCGGACAGAGAAACACATCTCAAGCATCTGGATCTTGTTTTCGAACGACTTCAAAAACATGGCATAACTGTAAACGTTCAGAAATGCCAATTCGGAACCGACTCGTTAGACTTCCTAGGACACACTATCGATGCTCAAGGCATTCGACCTCTTAGGACCAAAGTGGCGGCCATTCTGGATTACCCAGAACCGACCACCGTCAAGCAATTACGCACGTTTAACGGCCTGGTAAGTTTCTATAGACGTTTCATACCGAAATGCGCATTACTCATGAAACCTCTAACCGACCAACTTCGTGGAAATGCGAAATCCATTAATTTGGACGACACCGCACGAAAAGCATTCTCCACAGTTAAGGAACTGATTGCTAAAGCAACAATGCTCGCACATCAGGACACCCGAGCACCCATTAGCATCGCAGTAGACGCATCCGACTCGGCAATCGGAGGAGTCTTACAACAATGGGTTAACAACTCCTGGCAACCCTTGGCATTTTTCTCTAGACGGTTGCTAGACACCGAATCGAGGTACAGCACATTCGGTAGGGAACTCCTAGCTATGTATTGTGCTGTACGGCATTTCAACACTGCATCGAAGGTCGTGAATTCACTCTATTCACGGACCATAAACCGCTCACTTTCTCGTTAAGCTCTCCTTCTGACAAGTACTCTCCCCGTGAGTCTCGACAACTGGACTACATTTCGCAGTTTACTTCAGATATTCAACACATCTCTGGAGCAAACAATGTAGTTGCAGACGCTTTATCTCGTATAACTTCCTTGAACAGTTTCCAAGGAATCGACCTTCTTAAACTCGCCGAGCTTCAAAAAGAAGACACTGATCTTCAGCACGAGTTATCGTCCACAACACTTAAACTACGCATCAAACAGATGGGAACAGGTAAGGAAACCTTACTTTGTGACACATCTACAGGTAGGGATCGCCCAATCGTGCCGAAACATTATCGACGCAATGTCTTCAACACATTGCACAAACTTTCGCATCCAGGTGTTCGTGCAACCATCAAGCTTATAGCAGAAAGGTTTTGCTGGCCTGGAATGAATAAAGACGTGAGGGAGTGGGCACGCTCCTGTGTAAGCTGCCAAAAATCTAAGGTTATCAGACACAATAAATGTCCCTTAGGCTCGTTTAAAACTCCCGATGCTCGTTTCGACCATGTTCATCTGGATTTGGTAGGACCTTTACCAGATTCAAATGGATACTCTTATCTCTTAACCTGCGTAGACCGTTTCACTCGATGGCCAGAAGCAGTACCTATCAAGGACATCACTGCTGAAACAGTGGCTCGCACCTTCGTCGAACGATGGGTAGCAAACTTCGGCTGCCCTTCAACCATCACTACAGACCGCGGACGTCAATTTGAATCTGATCTTTTCCGTCGTCTGACCACTCTTTTAGGAAGCACTCGCTTCCGAACGACCGCCTACCATCCACAAGCAAACGGGTTGGTAGAACGTTTTCACCGACAACTGAAAGCTTCGCTATCAGCTACAAACGTTTCACAGTGGACCGACGCTCTTCCACTCGTCTTACTAGGTATCCGCAATGCAGTGAAAGCTGACATTGGATACACTGCGTCTCAACTCGTTTATGGTACGACACTTCGACTTCCAGGAGAATTCGTGAATCCTTCATCCTCTTCAATGAACATGGATCTAACCTCCTACACGAACAGGCTTACAAACGCAATGCGTTCAGTTAAACCTGCTTCCACCCGACCTCAATCGACTGATGTTTTCGTTCAACCTGACTTACGATATAGTACACACGTTTTCGTTCGTCGAGACTCGCATCGACGACCCTTCGAATCAGCATACGAAGGACCCTTCAAAGTTCTTCAACGTGAATCTAAGTACTATATAGTCGATAAGAACGGAACCAACGATAGCATCAGTATCGATCGCTTAAAAGCAGCGTATTTAGAAGGAAATCCTATCTACGTCGATTTTCCTTCGGTACAATTGAACGACACGACTCCGACACTTATAATACCTCATCCGACAACCAACACACACGATGATACTTCGACAGTATCCGAAAATAAACTTAAAACGACGCGTTCTGGAAGAAGGGTGAGATTTCCAGAACATCTAAACGACTATTGCACGTAAGGCACTTCTCGACATTTTATATTATTTTTAAAAAAAAAAAACAATTTTAATATGCTTATATATTTTTATTTCTATTTAAAAAAAAAAAAAACAAAAAAACAATTTTTTTAACGCTATTACGTGTTCATGAGTTTATTTTCCATTTTTTTTTCCGCCGACATTGTGCTTTGACGCACATACGAGTGTATTTCGACATGCACTTACATTTTCTTTTTTCTTTTCCAGGACGGCTGGAAAAGAACGATGACGTTTATGAGGATCCGAAATTTTCATTGTACATTTTCTTTTTTTACTATGTTGTACCTCCGTCCCATATAGTAAGGAAAGACGACCAGACGCTGCTAAATTTAGTAAGCTATCAGAAGAGTGTTTACCAACGACAAACTCGTTGGGTTTAAACTTCTGGCTGGCCACGTCTTAGGGTCGTCACTGCCCCACTAGGGGGGGAGTGATCTGTAGCGGTAAATAAATCCCCAAAATAAATAGCACTAAGTTTTCGACATTGGATGCTGACCATATGTTTTAGTGGACTCACCTAGCTGAAGGCGCTCGGTCAGTCATCCGCACCAGATCACGTGTGGTAACGCCGTGCTCAACATCAACCGCAATCGCTAGCCAGATTAGATCAGAGAATTCCGATATATTGGTCATCGCCAAATATACTCTTCCGATCTCCTCGACTCTGTCTTTTGATTTCTCTGGGCGGGAACGAAATATATTAGAAGGTGTTACTGGTAGAAGCGTTGTCAAACACTGAATACCTGTGACATCATCAACGGAAACATAATGATTCCTCCTTCACTCCAAAAGGATAAAGACACCCTGGAGCATATCCGACGGCGAGCAACAAAATCAGTTCGAAGACTCAAATCTAAACCTTACGAAGAACGCCTCCAATCACTTAACCTTTACCCATTAAAGTATAGGAGTTTTAGAGGTGATCTATTAATGGTCTATAGTATTCTCAACACTTCTGGACATCCTCTTAAACACCTAGTTAAGCTTAGTTTGAACACTAACCTAAGAGGCAACTTGACCTATTCTTAAGGGCCAAGGACAGCATCATACTATGATTTACACATTTCTATTTCCCCTTTTATTGTTAACATACCTAGGTTCCTGCCTGGAGGATTTGTGATCCCTTGCTACTAGACACGGAAGCCTGTTAAGCGAAAGCTTCTTCTATTCCGTCCACAACCATTTGAACCATTTGGACAGACTTTCGGATATGGTAGCAATAGATCACTGATGTATCCATGTAGCACCCTATGTGAATCGTTAAAAGAAGTCATCACAAGCATTATAAGTGTTCAACAGTTGATACCGACCTCATTAGTTTTACTGAGCTCACCCGGCTGAAGGTACTCGGTCGCACATTCTCACCAGATCACGCATGGGTACATCGTGCTACGCAACTGTTAACCAGAATAGATCAAACATTTCCCGTTATTGACTAACGCGATTTAAGTCAATGATTATATACGAGGATAGGCGACATATATATTTCAATAACAATCATTCATACGATCTACTTGTGGTCAGATCACGGGCCACTAAAAACCCTTCATTTCTAACTTCCGATTTGAATAAGTTGACATACTTCCAACATAAGGGTGTTACGTGTAAATGTGTTCTCAAACTCTGAGTACTTTTGGGACCTTCAGTGGTGAGTTATACGTGATCTGATACATTTATTTTTGTGAACTGTGAGTCTGTTACTTGTTGGAACATTATATATTATTTTTAATCGTTATCTTTTACATATTGTGATGATGTTTTGAATTTTTGGATACATTTTTCTTGTTCATTTGTATACTTTATATTTATCATGGCGAAACTGACTCCTTAGTTATTTAAGGTAAAGACTTTCGCCTCCTTCATTCCAGCTAATGACGTTTTGGTCTAACAGTATCCAAGCCTGGTCCTGCTACGCAGAAACTGACTTCCACGAGCACGGCGTGACAGAACCACGTGCACAATCCCTAGCAGTAGTGAAGTCACTACCGCGCAATTTCAACAAGTACGCCGCACACAGTATGGCTACTAGTGGTATTTCGGAAACTTAAGAAACTCTAAAAGACATTATCCTTAGGCTTGGAGATCTAACCGACTGACAAAGGCTAGACAAACTTCCACAGCATCAAGTTGCAACGTGGCTCAGGAACAGAAATATTGCTGCAAATGAGAGAGGTTGTAGAATTATGGTCTACTATAATATTAGTACTGCTCTAATAATAGACCTAATCCTAAAATTGTAGATTTGTAGATTTGATATAACTGCCTAATCTATAAGATCTTACGTGGAAGTCACACCATCGACTACACCAACTCACTGTATCGTATCAATTACCAATACATGATGTAGAACAAGGTTAGGCTAGAGAAAGAACAATATATTTAATATGAATAGAAGATATAAGGTAACATTCAGCAGAGACCACGCCTGCATGAACTAGCCATGCCACTCGATCAACTCCGACAAGGTTTAAACGTTAGGTGCTTTCGAAATGTGCCCGCCCTTTCGTTTCAACGACCTTGAACGGCTTGGCTAGAGGCGGTCATTTCGTATTTCAATTGCCGTGGGTTGGTTGGATTGCATGAGTATCAAGTTTTTCCATATATAAGTCATCTTATGCTATATAAAAAAGCACGAAATAAATACCAAAACCATTAATTTAGCGTTCTCTGTTTTCTGGTGTACACTTTGGCTCTGTTGTTGCTTTGTAATTTGATCTTTGATCCCAACAACTGTAGTAAAGCTCAGTGAAATGTCAAGTCACAGGTAAATCCTAAGTATTTGTAGTATTTCCTTGGGTTATTATTGTTGCAAGGAATAACTTTTTAATAATTAGTCATGTCTGTTTTTAGTGCTTCATGCTCAAGTGACATTTCTGTCGACCTAAACGATGCCTTTCGAAGTATGATACTGAACAAGCGTTTCGTGTTGTGGGATGATTTTGAAAGCGCCTTAAAAGAGTTCCAAGAAGTATGGAATTATAATTTTATCGCTTCTCAGACTACTTACACTCGTTACATCCACACAGAAAGCAGATTGCTGAAGGATGTCAGGTTCAAATACCTGTTTGTAACGTTTAATTGTACGTTTGGTCATAAACGGGAATCGGAAGGTTTGAAGGTGAGGCAAAAATCGTAAGATCTTTAACTAATATCTTATGTTTAAGGTCTAAATTCCGTAATTGTCAATCTAAATTCCGTGTAAGACTAGAGGAGCAAGGATATGTCATCAAATCCTACAACATGCTCTACAATCATCCATGTAGTAGTTCATGGATGGTATGTGATCCATGGACAAGGAGATTATCGTCAGAAGAAAAAGAGAACTTGAAGCCCGTAATACTTCACTGTGAGTCAGCAGATGAAGTTATCGTAAGTATTAAGGAGAGAACTGGTAAGCAAGTAACTGCTGCCGATGTCAAAGGTATGAAAGCTACACTCTCCACTGGTAAGTGTATATAAATATATTTCAGGTTGTTTTACTCGGAAGCAGGTAATGGATATGCTGAGACAGAAAGGCGAAGTGAGGGAACATTTAGAAAATGGATATTGCACGAGAATATGTTTCAGTAGTTATAATCAAATACAACTGTACAGGAAATATCCATAAGTTTTGTGCATCGATTCTACGTATAATACTAATAATAAAAAGTGAATATGTTTATCGTTGTATTTTACTATGTAGATATTCGTTATTCCAGTTAGTGGTGACGGATATTTGGGGTCGAGGACGAACTGTAATGTTTGCGTGGACACGAAGGGAAAAGCGTGCCGATGTGATATGGATTTTAGATCAATTCAAAGAGATAATGGGTGACATAATGTTGACTGAAACATTTGTGATGGATTGCGTCTTATACCCCTGCTAAACATTTTGACCCCATTCGCAAGATCTAAATTGTTATACGAACTTAAACAAATGCGTTTCGTCTACGTGGAATATGAAAGCGGCGACTGGTTGTTTATGGTTGACCGCGGACAACATTATGAAGTGGATGTAAGCAGTTGTCAATGCAATTGTAGCACGTTTATGATGTGTCGATGTCCCTGCCGTCACATGCTACTTGCCTACGTTAAAAGACGAAATCTTACAGGTAAGCTATATCAATTATGAAATACTAACTGCATAGCTCATCAACTTCTTAGGTATTGTAGCAGATGGAAGTTACATAATACCCAGAACTTCCAAAATTATACATTAACTGCATTACCACGACGGAGTGAAGTGTATATAAGTATTCAATGAAGCCAAAGAATCCATAAGCATTGCATCATTGAGAAGTATGGTGAACGTTTCGCAACGGAAGTTGAGAAGAAAGTGGACAATTATTACTTAAGAATTCTTAATACCAACTTGTAAACTTGATTTTCTGCTGTAGCAGCAATGATTATTCAATAAACTTTCATAATTTTAATTTTCATCTTATTCCTACTTTCATGGGAATGAATAGCAATGATGTTCATGTTTAACTGTCTGTAATAATTAAGAATGATTAAGAAACCCTACATCCACGTACAGTATTGCAGATGAGGCACCCACATATCATATTCACCTTCGTCGGATTACGTTTATCATCGAAATCGTATCAGTAGCTAAGTAGATTTTAATTTCATGTGATTAGTTCCGCTTATGAATTAAAATGAAACCAGGAGAAATGTTGATTAACAGTGGTATGCATTCATTATAACTAAATATGCATTAGGATTTAACAGTGATGTGGGGAACAGTTGACATACCTGAATATGAATAATTGAAATGACATAGGCTATCAATAATGACTATATATATATGTGCAGTTTAAGGTCAAAGGTCATTTGTTTTTACAGTCAATAACACATTAAGAATGGGTGGTGTAATAATGGACTGGAGTTCACAGACAGATAAGTGGTGTGAAAATCTTATAGCTTATAAATGATCCGTGGATTTAAGAACTGAAAACTTGGGTTACGTAATAATTGATTACAATTTGAAGAGGTCACATAATTACAGAGGATTAAATGAGCAGATGTAAGTGACAAGGTGCTGGAATAAATGGGTAACTAAATTTTAAAAGTGAAATGAATTATTACATAATCCATCTTATTACTTGTCCATTCCACGGATTATAAGGAGTTCATATTATTCTCTATCTATATTTGTTCTAGCGTCATATCGACTATTAATAAATACGGAAACGGTTTATAAAGTAAGACACTGAGTGTAGTTGCTATATTTATATTTCACTAATTCATTAGTTGAATAAAAATGTTACTAGGCAATACGGAACACAGTTAACGTGAACTTGTAAACCGGTTTTTAACATGGTCTTCCATAATCACAAATTCCATAAGTTGTAGACCGGCGTAAACATCATCACGAAGCTTTGACGACTTTAATGGATTCATACAATTCTGAAAAACAATAAATCAGTCGTGAAATAAAGAATTAGACTTAGTTATCAGTATCACATTCAAATAGCAGGTTACAGAATGTACCTATAAGTCTCTTATTTGCAGACAGCGCTAATCATTAGTGATTTCAATTTCCTTTAATAAAAATTAATATGTAATCTTTACAACACACATATCAGTGTTATTTACAAATTGCTGAAGTTAGTTTCGTCACAACATAGAAGCGTAGTCTGACTTATGAAGAAAATGTAATTAATTAATGTGGCATAAAGGAGATATGAATACAAGGAACTTGTGATTCTGCTTCCATTGCTCATTCACTTTTCGTCACGTTGTCTGCATGAATTACTTCGGACGAGTCAGTCTGTAATGCGGTAGGAATTCATGAATTAACTCACTAATAGTTGTTTTTCATTCAAATCTGTGTCGTAACAAGCACTGGGAATTTATTCAGTGTCTAACCCTTGTAGTATTTCGTCTATACATCTGCTATTAGCAAGAGAAACTGGTAAGCACCATTTAGATATTACTCGACAATATGCATCATAACTTTGTTCACATTTTCGTCTGCGATTGTGCATTTCGTTTACAGAAAATTATTCGTCAACCCTATAACAGACACATCATAATTCAGTATTAAGTACGACATGGTTTTGTCACCATGCTCAGAAGAGACACCCATCGTTTTACTTATGAAGATTTTGTGCCTATTTAATGTGGTGTTATACACTGTTCCTGTATACGTTCAGAAAGCCGGTAAAAAAGACTATCAACGTCAATTGTTACTCACATAATTTTTCTCTGATACGTTACACAATAATATGTCACTTCAGTACAAAACAATGCTACCTATAGTCCAAATAACCTTTTATGGCTAAATACAAAAAATTTATATAACATTCATAGTTAGTCTAACGCTTGCTTCTTTCTAATTACATTTTATAAACGACTACATACATCTATGTGTGCCGTCAGCATAATCAAGGAGGTGAACCATATATGGTGCTTTTCACGGCTTATTTTCATGAAAACTCAATCTGTAATCTATTTTTGACTAGAAAAATGGTGATTTGACTTGTTTGACTTTGTATTGTTAAAAATAACCATATTACGCCAACTACATATTTACTTAGGTGGTGAGCACGGATTACGTCAAACTACTTATAAATTGAAATCAAAACAATCTTCCAATCACAAAGATTACGAGAAGTCACGTATGATGGAAAAAAGGCTGTTAATAGCTGACAAATAACGACACATAAAATCCACAACAATATGTTACATGCGCGCGAAAACCCGTGACCTAACACGCATAGTGTGCCATCAACTCCAGCCCATTAAATTCATTTTTCGCGCCTTCTCCATCGTTAGGTATTTCTCCGCGTTAAATATTGAATATCTGTTTTCTGAGTAGTCTTGTGTTCAGCTTTGAGGATTGTGTGGTTATGGTTCAATGCCACTACAAGGTCACTGATCAACAGACCTTTGATGAGGGCCTGTTTGTACAGCTCTTCTTCTCTAAGCCTCACCAAGAGGTGCAAGCAGTCCCTGTCTCGTTTCACGATAACGCCATAGATGAGCTGGCTGCATCGGTCGACCGAATCCTGGAGATCATCATGACCTTCAGTGGTGAGGTTTATTCTTTCAAAGAAAATCTTCAAACAACAAAAACTGACGCCACATGTCTCTGTCACACTCTTACTCGTCGCTCTAATGCTCATCATACTTGTAGACACTTACGAACTCCTCAGAGAAACTCGTCACGAAGACCTGTCTCCAGAAAAAAGGAGATAGATACTGCTTTGTGGCGCTGGTACCACAATAAATATGGTAGTTCCTCTAGAATTTACAGAAAACCCTTCGGTTTCTCAAGCTCAGGACCATCTGAAAAGAAAAACATTTTAGGAAACTTCCTCGCCGGTACGACCTAACGGGAACCGTGTCAAGTGAACATAGCCTTCCGCCACAGACCAGTGACTAGATGGTGAAAGTTCACAACCTCGTCGACACTGATGCAAAAGTTAGCGTTCTTTCAGCGAATTCTAACGACCGACCGTACGAACAAGTTTTCAACTTACAGGCGGCTAATGGAAAATTGATTGCCATTTATGGTAAGAGATATGTTCAGCTTGACATGTGTTTACACATACCCTTTGTTGCAGATGTTTCTATGCCAAACACTGGTATACACCTGCTACAACACCACAATCTGCTTACCGACGCAAGAAACAGAACTTAGTAGACCGAAGTGCTAATTTGTCCGTTTGTGTAGCTCCCTGTTCCGGGTGCAGATTATCCCTTGTCACTGTTGAGCACATAATCGGCCCATTCTATCATCAGATACTCAATAAGTACCTTGATCTGTACCAAAAGCGATAAGATTTACTGTGTGTAGCCAGCTAAGCCTGGACGAGAACCGATTTGCCCACGTGATATACTTGAGAATCATAAGGCCATCGAACAGTCCATGAACATCTCTCTCGCACGTGGTCTCGTGAATGAACAGCAACGACAGGACTCCAACTGCTGATTACCGGTGACTGAAGGCGGAAGCCATTCTTGATCATTCGCCGTCGAGTAAATTCACGATTTGACAGCTGTCTAAGAAGGTACGACAGTGTTTTCGAAAATTAATTTGGCTAACGCCTATAGCCAAATTCCTGTGGCTGCTGATGATATTCGTAAAACCGCTTTCATTGCTCCCTTCGGACTCTACGAATTTTTGCTCAGGCATTTCGGTTTAAGCGATGCTGTACAGACTTTGCAGAGATTCGTCGGTGACGTCTTTTGAAGTCTCAACTTCGTAGGTGCATATGTAGATGACTATATAATCGCAATTTCGGAAGGAGAATGTCGTCTTCAGCATCTGAACCTTGTTTTCCAACGACTGCAAAAACACGATGTTACTGTGTTTACCGTCAACCTAAAGTATTAATAAATGAAATAGCAGTATTATCGGGGGTATTTACATTACTATCATCTCTTCCATTCACAGGCAAGCCTAGTTATAGTGACTTCAACATGCCCGAAATTTCTTGGCTCCCAGTCAAAGCGCCAAGACGTTATAAATCATTTACTGAATGTCTAGAGCTTGGACAATGGACTCAGTATGTCAATTGCCCTACCAGACATCAAAACATTTTGGACTTTGTCTTTACTAATGGCCTCATCCCCAATACTTTGTATATTGGAAAAACGTTTCCAGGTACTGATCATAACACTGTCATATGCAGCCTTGATGTAAAGACCACAATCTGTAGGAGTAAAACTGTAACATTTCGTAGGAAATATCGCAAGGTTGATTGGAATAACTT